ATATCCACTCAACACTTAAAATCATAGAATTGACTCTTCAAAGCTCATTAGCCAGATACATGCATTTATATTCCAAAACTGTTTCTTACCATTAGGTTCCACCCCTCCAGCAGAGTTTTATACAATGCACTTACACAGTTGCATAATTATATGTGACAAGATAGTGGATCAAAACTCTGAGAAATAACACAATACACATATGACTAACAGATGCTGGGATTCTTCTACGGCTATGTGTCTTCTTCAAAATGAGGATCAGTTGTCACAGGGAAAGATGCATTAAACTATGTTTTCTGTGAACTTTAAACTGGAGCAAAGAGGGATACTATACGACAAACAGTAACTGGTTTGCTATAGGAACTATAGAACTAAGAGTTTTGTTTTTGTTTTTCCCTTTTCTGGCTTGATTTTTTGAACAATGACTATCTGAAAATTTAAATCATTTATGTTCTAATTAATATTTTTAGCACTGTTTTATAATTTTAGGTATGCTACACTGTATAGCATGCAGTAATAAAGCTATTTTTAAATGCTGTATCAAGAAAATTAATAATTTCAAGCCAATGACAGAAACACTTAAATATTTTTAATTCTTTAGTATATATGCTTAGGAAACAGGCTCATCTGTTACAGTAATAATACTCTTCCAAGAAGTTTGTGATAACCTACCATGTTTTAATGAAATTTACTGTGGATATGACATTTCTCTCAAATGTAAGACTCTTCATAGAGGTCCCATTTCATCCAGCTATCCCTCTGCTGGGTATGTTTCCAAAAGAATTAAAAGAATCATACCACAATGACATATATGCACCCATGTTTATAGCGGCACAGTTTGTAATACCTAAAACTAGTTTTTTGGGTTTTTTTGTTTTTGGTACCAGGGATTGAACTCGGGTCCTTGTGCTTGCAAGGCAGGCCACCGAACCGCTGAGCTAAATCTCCAGCCCTTGTAATAGCTAAAACTTGGAAACAGCCCTAATGCCCATAAGTTGGAGAGTGGATAAAGTAGATGTGGTTTTTCTATTAAAATGGAGTATTACTCAACCATAAAGAATGAGAAATTAGAGACATTTATAGCTAAATGGATGCACATTGAGGCCATACTCTTTTAAATGAAATAAATGGGACACACATGTGCAAATACTGAATAGTTTCTCTGGTGTGAATACTAAAAGAATAAATAAGGTTCAAATTGTATAATTGTAATGTGAAATAGGACAAAAGGGTCTAAAGGAGTAGAGGAAGTGGGAAAGGTAGGGGAAAGGAAAGAAGGGAAAAGGAAAAATATGATAAAAGGAAAAAATGGAAACAAAGTCTTTGTAAATAGGGAAGGGTGGAGTGGGTGAAGGGAGGGCAGCAGAATGGGGAAAAAAAAAAGAAGCAAGATACATCATGTAAGATCCCAATGTTGAATATAACTGTATACCTAAAAAGTACCAATAAACAATGAAAAAATGTAAGATTCTTCATATTTACAAAGGTTGTTACTAGAGCTGTTTACATTAAAGGTTCCGAAAGTGAATCACTTTGCCAATAGCTATAAGGAAATTGTTAATTCCATAACACAAATTCCACTTGCAAATCCAATGTCAGACTCCTCATCCTAATTAAAAAGGTCTATTCCAATTTTTAACACCTCTTTCCATTAATATATCAAACATAACAATTTTAAACACAGGGTTATTTATGGGATATAGCTTATTGAGTATCATCGCCAACCATTAATAAAGTAATTACATTAGGTTAAAAGCTGCATTTTCTTGTGCTATCTGAAAATAAGAATGGAAGCCATTAGGACAAAATTATCAGAGTGAGTAAGAGAACTGACCAAGTTAAACAAATAAAAAGCGGTGGCAGACCTAGCAAAAGTACAGGGTCACACTTTCATAGTTAATAAACAATCACCACCACATACAAAGCATTGTGGTGTTCCTACCACGGTCTTAGCCAATTTTCTGCTTAAGCTTGTATTATTGAAAGTAGTTATATAGCATAGTTAAGAAAATAAGCTTTGGAGTCTGAAAGAAGGGAGATCAAACCCTGGCTCAAACCCTTTATTCCTCATGTGATCTTGGGCAGTGGATTTAAACCACTCTGAGACTCCGATTCTTTACCTGTATATTTGGGTTAATTTTTCATTTCAGATTTATTCTTTCTCATGACAAATGAAATATAAAAGCACTCCATGCTTTGCCACCAGAGAAAATCACAACAAATTTAAAAAGAAATTTTTGTCTAAATACCATTGAGGTGATTATTTAAAATAACAGGTTGGATTCCTGCAGCAGGAAACTCATTCATCTTTACATCTCCAGGAAATAGCATAAAGCTTAATACAAAATATATTATTGGTAAACAATATAAATTATGATTCCATAAGAATATTCCTATCAGACCCATTGCTAAGCCCTACAGCCTTCACTTTTCTGTTTTTTTTTTTCTTTTTGTGGTACCAGGGATCGAACTCAGGGCCTTTTGCTTGTAAGGCAGGCAGAGAAACCACTGAGCTAAATCCCTGGCCCCCTAGCCTTCACTTTTGATATAGTAATTCTTTTCCCTCTCTTAATCTCCATCCACCATCAGGGCCTAAGCCCAAATTCAGGAATCACTGCACCTGGGTCAGGGCAGAGGCCTCCTGATTGAGCAAAGGTACCTACTTTGCCTTTCCTCCACGCTGCTTTTCAAGTTAAAGGGATCTTCTCAAGGTGTAAATGAATCTTATCGCATTGTAAGTATTCTTATGAGTGCCGGGGATTTAGCTCAGAGGTGCCACCACCTGCTTCGAAAGCCCATGGTCCTGAGTTGAATATGTATGTGTTTGTACACACACACACATATATTAAGCATTCTTATGACTCAAAATAAATACAAAGTCCTATCTGGTATGCAAAGTTCTCAGTTGTCTGCCTCCTAGCTACTAATCAGTATTGTAGCAGGTGATATTCCCTCTATTTCATTCTCTTTTCCATCCATAATGTTTTTTTTTCAGTTCCTCATATGTGTTGAGTTCTATTTTCTTGCTGTTGTTTGGTCTGAAGTGTTCTTTGCCCAAGCTATGACCCAGACACTGTGGGTCTCTGAGTTGAACTTTATACATTAGTTTTGTTACTTCGCAAGGGAAGTCGTCTCTGACCTTTCTGTAAGGCCTTATAGAACCATATTCCCCTCCTTCAGAGAACATATCAACTTATATTTCTTTATACTACTTTTTTTCTCTCTCATTGAGTTTATTGGTACATTTTAGGTATACAGTACAGTTACATTCATCATTGGGATCTTGTACCCTTACATGACAGGTCTTGGGTCTCATCTTTTTCCACTTGTCCCTGCCCTCCCTTCATCCCCTCCTCCCTTCCCTATTTGCAAATATTTTATTTCCATTTTTTTCACTTTCTGTTTTTTTTTCTTTTCCCTTATTTCCTTCCCCCTACTCTTCTTTAATGAATGAATATCTTCCTAATTAA